TTGTTGCACTGTAGCTGATATCAGTTTGTGATGAAAATCCTATCTCTCAACCTCGGATCCTTACTCTAAGCACTTAAGCCTAACCAAAAAACAATGTGGGAACCCTGAAAAGTCTGTTTGGATCCCTTTAAAAGTTGGAGAAGGAGGATAATTTATATCTCTAAGAACAAGTTTTTAATCGTTTTCCCCAACTTTCTATCACACTGACCAGTAGATAACTTAAATAGATTCACCAAATATGTAGTGTCTGTTCACAGTTCATAATATTAATGTTTTCCTTTCCATAAACAAACGATTTATAATAGAACATAGCTTATTACATATATGACATATGAGAGTGTCTGCTTAAACTTACTATCCATTAAAATCTTGATTCGACGGAAATACTCAAGAAGTAGGTACGACTAAATTACAGATGCAAACAATATACTGATCTTCTCTTGAATGTGAGTGAGTTTTCATAGTAAAAATAGTCAGTGACTAACAAAATAAATCCGACTATAAAACTTGAAAAACTCATAATCACCGTAAAACTACCATATACACTTACTTTTCATTACTATATTAGAGATGGATTATTTTTAACTTTGACAGTGTGTCCTTAGTAGCAGTCACTGAAGAAATAAACAAATTAATTCTATTTCATCGTGGTTTTATTTACAAAGTCTCACTAAACATTTGAATAATTTAATTTACATTCAAATGAAAATACCTCGATTGATTTCGAGATTACTGCTGAGATTTTTTTGTTTTTTGAATAAATACACATAAATATTTAATAAAACTAATCATTTCTATTAAATATGAGATAGAAATGTATCCTGAACTCAGACTATTTACAAACTGATGTTTAGATGATATATTAGTCGTTTTCATTGAGAGCAAAGCAGAAGTTTTATTCAATATATTATGGAAGGGAATTAGGGCCAAGGAAGGATGAAAGGTTAGATGTATGGTTTTTGCATGTAAATTTAAGGCTCGAATCGGTGGATCGCCAACGCCTTAATAGTGCATAAGTCGAATCAAAAACTTATACACCGCTGAGGCGTTGGTGATCCACCAATTAAAGACCGAACTTTGCAAGAAAAATTATTATTGAATAAAAAAATATCATTTTACACCTTAGAACTAAGTATTGATAGTTTTCTGAAAAAAAAAGTATAATTTAGCAATCCCCCGAATATACGGTTTTGTCTTCTATTTTAATTGATTGGTTTCGATATCAAAATCTGTATGTTTGTGTGTTTGCTAACACTCAGCTAACAAGTTTTATACTTACAAGCTCTATGAAACATGTTATATCCGAACAAAGAATACATGAATGGTAAATGCTGGGAATTATTCATGAACTATTATTACATATATTCCTACTGAATAACTACTAACTATATTGTATGTATATTTATAGTAATTTTATTATAAGCTTCCATTTAACCTATTGAGTACAATTACACGATTTATTATTATTAGGATTTTTCTCAATGTATAAGTTACAGCCTCTCACATTCACAGCCACTTTTTGCCTGATCTTGAATAATTGTTATTTTCTATTCCATGGGATGATGCAATTTGGTTTGATTGTATAATAACTACGTATGCCTGAAATATATGATTTATATCGCGGAAGCTGATATTGGTGTTCTGGACTGGCTAAGTTAGGCAAGAAGCTACTGTCTCAGAGGACCAATATGAGCTCAAAGTTGAAGCTAGGCTGCTCGTACTGGTATGTGTCATTGGTTCGGCAGTGCCAAGGTCACATAAGTCACTGTTTGTAATTGGCGGTTTAGTCACGTGATATGTTAGACGGGAATATGAGCACAATAAATCCCAACAAACCATAAGGCCTAAAATCAAAGCATTCTGAAGTACGTAGTCCAACAAAGAACAAATGATTCACATATAACTTGGTTGAATAACAAAAAGAGAATTTCTCGATCGATCAATAATAATCAATGAAATATCACCTTTGGAGTATACACTAATGAGTTTGTATTTTCTCGGGTTTTTCTACACCTTTCAGTTATGCAGAGAACACACAAATATTCAGTCAAAATAATCATTATTGAAGTACAATTAAAGATTAAAAAAGAAATAATTAATTCCATTAGTTTCGTGAAAATGTAAAATTTGAGAATAATTTTCATCTTATACCAGGTGAGCCATTGAATAGCTATTTTTGGCTATTTTAAGATTCATCAGTGGCACACAATTATATGATAGAAACCGAGACTTGAAGGTTTCATCGAGAGCATGATCTTATCAATTCAAGAAGTTGAAATCCAATAGTACGAATTTTCGTCAACATCAGTTAGCATTTAAAATAACAATGAGCACCCACATGTTCGCGCTATCGTGCGATTTGACTGAAGTTAGAAATGCCAATCATTGTGGCTACCTTGATGTAGTGGTCGGGTTCGCCTATCGTGATGAATCAATCGAGCTATACTGGTTGGAAGGATCGTCCCCAAAGGCCCTACAGTCCCAGACATGTTGGTCGAAGAACGGTAAGACTAAAAGTAACAAATCCAAGATCCGAAGACGAAGTCCTACTGCTGAGTGTACAGAGGTGTGACGGCAGTAAGGTGTTTCCTTCATACAACCAGCATGACAGCGATGCTGCCTTCCCACAAGGTGTGGGGTTAGAAAAGGTCGACCCCAAAAATGCACACCTCGCCTTATCCCACGGATATCCTTCTCAGTCGGTAAGGTTCCAACAAGTACTGAACTAACACGAAAATCACTCACAAGAAGTTTGTGTGTAACCGGCCTCAAGTAGTTGTTCCTTGAGCATTGCGGTCACGCTCTCAGGTCAATAAGGCCACCTCTAACCCTATTTCCTTTTCAGGTACCTCCACAAGAATTCTTTTCACAGTGTGGGAAACCGGGAAGTAAAAACTGCACTCATACCTCTAACAGCACTCACGATCACTGTATTCATAATCAATCTTTTCAATTCCTATAATTCCTCCTCAATCGACTTTCATCACTGAACTTCCTCTTTTGGCTTCCTCCTCAAGTGTCACCATAGCTAACGATTCTAGGGCACAAAACACTATCCCAGGTCTACTGAAACCTCGTTTCAAACTACACACTGTAGTTTTCAACGTGCGCACCCTATGTAGAATCGACCAATAGGCCTGGGAGTTGGACATAATCCCATCTGACTGGTCACAATCACTGATTGTCCCAATAAATAAGAGAGGGTCGAAATCATCCTGCGACAACCATAGAGGGATTAGTTTAGCCAACATAGCATCTTAAATACTAGCCTCAATAATTATCGGCCGCCTAACGAAGACTCGTGAACTGCAAACACGTGGAAATCAGGCTGGCTTCAGACCTGGTCGCGGCTGAATCGACCACATACCCACCATTCGTCAGGTTTTAGAACAAAGGTATACTTATCGGCCTCCAACAATGATAGTTTTTCTTGACTTAAAACAGTATTTGACTCTGTGAACCGATAGGTTCTGTGGCAGTGTCTGTCATTGAAAGGTGTACCTCAGAAGTATATAAACCTTGTGAAGACGCTTTACATGAACACTACTAGTCGAGTCAGAGCTTATGGTGAACTGTCATCCTATTTTGTAACCTCAAGTGGTATCCGGCAAGGCTGTCAACTTTCTCCATTTTTGCTCAACTTCATCATAGACCTACTGATGGAAATAACGCTCTCGTCGACTAAATTTTCCGGCGTCGTGCTCCCACCAGGAGGTTCACTTATAGACTTAGAATACGCAGACGACATAGTCCTGTTTGGTGAAGACGCTGATAAAATGCAGAGTTGTTTTATAGCACTGAGCAACAATGCCAGAATGTTTGGGATGCACTTCTCCCCCTCTAAATGCTGCTGCTGTTGCTCCAGGACTGATCTGTGTCAACACCTGAACTAAGGATAAAGAGTGAAGTAGTCGAACGCGTCGACAACTTCACTTATCTTACAAGTCTGATCAGCCCTAATGAGTTGGTGTCTGACGAAACTTCAGCACGGATTCGAAAAGCTCGTTTGGCTTTTGCCAACTTACGTCACCTGTGGCGAAGGCGAGATGTCCGTTTATCAGTTAAGGGACTAGTATACTGTGCGGTAGTTCGTTCTGTTTTACTTTACGGCTGAGAAAAGTGGTCATTAAGAGTAGAAGATACTCGTAAGCCACTAGTATTTGACCACAGATGCCTTAGTAATATTGCTGGCATCTACTGGGATCACCGGGTAAGTAATAGTGAGGTTAGACGCAGGGTATTAGGGAATGATGGTAAATCAGTTGATGATGTTGTAAATCTTCATCAACTGAGATGGTTGGGCCACGTGTTACGTATGCCTGAACACCGATTACCACGACGTGCAATGCTAACCGGTGTTCGGGATGGTTGGAAGAAAGTTAGGGGCGGCCAAACCAAAACTTGACATCAGTGCTTGAGGTTACTAACTTGTAGTCTGAGCCATATTGGTAGATGAAGACTTCTTGGTTGGAGTTCGCGTGACTATCGTAACCAATGGCTGGGGACTGTGGGTGACATGGCTCAGGATCGATCACATTGGCGTCGGCGTACACACTCTCTGTCTTTCCTTAAACTATGAGATTAAAATCGCTTCATATCTTTTTTCTACGAACTAATTCTTTCTTCCCGTACTATATCCTCATATGCAATCTTTCTTTCATATACTACCACCATTGAATTAGCTACCTCTATGAAGCCGGTGTTTGTCATTCTGCAATAATGAGGTAACTTGGACCGATGCAAATATGTGCGTGGTCCTACTTTGTAGCTGACTGACTGGTTGTCAACAGTTAGATTTTCATGGTTTATCATATCTTTCATATGATTTGATAGCCCTGTGCTCATGATCCTGCATGGAATTATGATTGCAAACTGTCGGGCAGTTCAAAATTAATAAATGAGAGAGTTGTCCAGTGTACTTAATTAGTTCTTCAACTGAAAAGAAAACTATATTTAGAAAGCAAAGGAAAAGGAGAGGGAAAAAATACATGCTAACTTACATATGGTAGAAAATGCAGAGCATATAGCAAATAGTAATGTAAGACCTGCGTTAATACCAGTGACAGTTAGATTTAATGTACATTGACGAGGTAAACCGTAGAAGAGTACAAAGGCAGTATAAGCACAAATAGCTACAGCATACAGTGACAAGGTAGCAATATATATAGCTGAAAATTATGGAAGAAAAATTACATACATATATAGATCAAATGTCAATTATCAGGTCGAGACAAATCATTATTGTCAATTATTATTACTTCATTGAAACTTTGAAAAAAAATTTAACTGGATAAAAATCAACATTAGTTAATTTGTGGAGAAGTTTTCTACTGCAGTTATGCGACTATACATAACTTATAAATGTGCCTGGTCCTACGTTGTAGCTGACTGACAATAAATTGACATATATGTTGAAATATTGCATTAACCAAGATTTATACATTTTATTAACTGTAAGTGCCTAAATTAAGTAGTAATTTGAGATAATAGGGATTCGTGTTGTTGGTCAGTATGGTCTTTTAGTCTTAAAGAGTTATGGTGATACACTTGTTTAATAAGCTTGACTGTTAATGGTTAAACTAAATTAATGCTCTTTTATTGACCTTTTTATCAACAAGAGTGATATACAACATGGAAGGATATCGAAAAATCCTCTCCATGATTTCCGTCCTATCTAAACACAAGACAAGGTTGGCCAGAATGTCAATTCAGTCAGGATAATGTTTACGTCACAAAACGCAGGCGATCAGCGCTAACTAGTACGTAACATGACGAACTGATCAACTAACATTTCCGATCGAAATATGTGGCGATACGGTTTCGAGTCCTCTTGCGAAGATCAGTCCTCTTGGAATCGCAGATACTTCTTGCTGATGGGTGTCATACCAGAACTATCTCCCACTGAATCTTGAGCTAAATGGATCTAGTCATTCTTCCAGCACATTCACTTCCTTGGGTCTATATCTTTTGTGTTTATATTCCAATTGATTCCCATAAGATTTAATATTATATGCATCCAATCTTTCCGATTTTCGCTCTTTGTGTTAAAGTAAAATATGACAATTTGAACCGATACACATTCGTGCTCAGCTCAAATGACTGTGACACTGACCGGCTGAAAAGTTTCATCTGCATAAACGATGAATAACTTGGATAAAAAGCTTACTCTAGATAAATAATTTTTCGCAATTCACAATTAACAAACAAGTAATCAAAACCAAAGTCTTGTAAATTCATACGGAGGAATTAACTATACATATTTTATTTTTGTGAAGAACTCAGCATGACAAGAAGGTACTTTGTATGAAAGCTTTCAATCGAATTTATATGACATTCAAAAATCGAAACTGAAGCACACTACAAAACAGAGACGTAAGTTTTGGAATCCAAACGCTGATAGCTCTGATACCCAACCTTGCTGAACTTTTATAAACCGAAATTTTAAAACATTTTCATGGTAACCAAATTATTTTGGCTTTTTTATTCTTACATTAAACGTAGGAAATGCATACATAACAGATGACGAATCTAACTCACCTAATGTATAAAAAATTGAAGTTTTCGATTTATTATGCCTAGACAAAATCAAAAGAAAACATTATTAAAATACGTTCAGTAAAAATAAATGCTTGAATTAAGTGACAGAATGAAATGATTATTTATTTCGACAGTCAGTACGTACAAATTTTGCTGAAGATTTCAATGCTATATGGCCGATATGGTGTTAGCAGAACTGAAAAAACTCTTGAGCTGAATAATCCATAGAAAACGTCAGACGAACGTCTCAAAACTTTACGTTTTAGGTTATATAATTTTGTGAGTAGCATTACGTATCATGGCTTATTTTGAAATTGGAAAAGTCTCTCGAAGATAGAAAAATACCCATTGGCTACACGTAGTCTTAAACAGAAAGCAGATTGAAGACAATGTGTACCTACAAAAAATTAAGTCCTAACAAACAATATATATCAGATACGAATGATTTTACCGAATCAATAACACCGACAAATTTACTTGGTCCTGACAAAACAAAGTACAAGTCCCTTTACCTATCGATTTCTCACTTTGTAGTAATCATTGTTATGTTCGATTCAAAGTGTTGATTAACCTTTATCTAACACGTTATAATATGACTGCTAAGCTAAGCGATTTTACATTGCAGTGTATTTTATTTAGTGTCAGGCAAGTAGAATAAATCGGAGGCTGTTTGAATCTTACGGGGAGTATGTAAATTCCAAACACAAATTTTAAGTCAAAATAAAATCTACAGAGTATCGACTGTGATGAATTATACAAAACACTAAAATGTCTCCTACTTTATCAAATCAAGCTTGATGAAGTAGAATCAGAATGGAACGAAACTCAAGATGGTCGGGCAAGCATTCAACACTGACTGATGCAGTTACATTTTCCAACTTTCCAAGAAACCATATTTTCTGGATATGGACCCTCTAACAACAGTTTGGAAAGGACCCCGAAATGTTAGGTTGTACAACTTCAACCCATTCATCGATTGTACTGTTGGATGTGTGTTTCGCTATTCTATACACATCTACAGTTAGCATTGTTCGTTTCATTGTTTTTGTTCTAGGTACAGTTTTTTTAAACAAATGAGCTTGAAGTGACCCATTAATACAACCCTATTTGTTTGGTCACGTGTTGCTTAAGGTTACTAAAATATTTGGCTCATTAAACGATTCCCTCAAAAAAGATATCTAGTTCCTCACTAACGTGGCCTGTAAACTGGTCAACACAAGTTATACTAATTGTTTTCCACAAAAAGTTTATTTATAAAACAAAACGCCAAAATCCATTCATTTAGGCGTTCAACAGCCCTTCTTACATCAAATAATATCACTTAAATAGTTTGTAAGTGTAAACAATAATGATCACAGCACCTCAGCTCGATAATGATTTTGAGGCTTATGTGTTAGATTTTTGGCCACGTCATTTAAGTGAGAACCAGTAACAAACTACTCCATAAACATTAGTAATTAAGTGTCGTTTTAAACTCAACACTTAGAAATTGAGATCCAATCGCCTAAACTAATGAGGTACTGGTCTACGCAAGCCTGAAATAATTAATAGGCAATATACTCACTATATGGATGTAACAATCTAGACTTTTAGCAATAAGGTGTGAGGGTTAGGCTGTAAAGGTCGTCAACAAACTCCAGTCTGGTCCGTGATTAAGAAAGTATTGCTTGCGGTATTATGTTAATTTGATTTATCTGCAACTATTGGGTAGTGACAGACAAATACAGTGACCGGTTGATTTTACCAGTAGAATCTAAGTGTGCGAGACTATATAACCCAAGTAAACTAAAATTTCCCAACTGCTTCAACTTTAATAAGTGATTTCATGTTATTATTGACAAGAAACATTCTTGCTCTTATAGTGGCAAGATTTGAACATAACTGACTACACCAATAATAAGTAATCGAAACAAAAGTCTTGTAAATTTATACGGAGGACTTAACTATATATATATAGTGAAGAACTCAGTATGAAAAGGTTCTTCATAAAATCAAACTTCTAACGGACATATCACCACAAACTTACAGACGAAGTGGCCTAAATGTTCTGCCAATTTCTAAGACTTTGCTAGTGGACATAATTATTTGTCAAATCAAACATCCATGAAGAAAATAGACTAGGAGACTCCATAATAAGTAGCTGAACAAGTGGCATGAGTAATGTTCTATATTCATGATTTATGAAATCAGAAACTGGTGAGACTATGATTTCTGGACGAACCAATCATATTTAAGATACCAGGTTTTGAATTTTGGCGCGAAATTCATTCACTCATTTAGTTAAATATTATTTTGGCACCACATGTGATGTCAGTTCGTGATGGAAACATCAAATCTAATCCCTAACCCCAACTTTTAACTGTAAATCCTAACCCTAATTCCTTACACTAATCTATACCTCTCACTTAACCCTAGTAAGTTGGTAGACATCCTAAGATCATCTTAGCGTTACTCAAAGGTCATCCATAAAACATAATCTCACACAAAAACTATTAAACGAAATTCGGCAATATACGGAAACTCGTCTAAAAGGTATCGCCATTGAAACTTCGATGTTTTATTTGGTTTATGATGTTGCTTTGACTCATTAAGGATTATCTTCATGGTGAAACTACCAACAAAATTTTTCAAATGTTCAACAAATTATGTTCTTTAAACATTCAATCGACAGCACCAAGCATGTATGCAGGAAAGTCAAGTAATGACCACAGTAAAAGTGAGTATTTAGGAGGACAAAAGATCGCGAAAATTGTCACTGTCTTACCAATTTCCATTTATTTCATAAGCAAAGTCGATAAGCGTTATGTGTTGTACATAGACAAATAAAATCCCACCAACGATTCCCATAATCATCCACACTGTAGATCAAAGTGAGTAAAAATCAAACAAACCTCTGGTGAGAGTTTCCAAGTGTGGGAAAAAGTAAGCAGTTATCCACACACTGACAATAAAGAATAATTTCCACAACCAGTACCTACATGTATAAGTTACTATATATACAAACTACCCATTATGAATTTTTCCCCTGAACGTCTGACTGGAAGAGACTGCGATGGTAAGAAATGTCATCAAGATATGAAAAGTGAAGAGAGAAAGACATATACGATAAACCCCAATATATCCTATAATTCTGTAACATCCTTCACCGGCTCCAATCTGAGAGCAAAACCGCTCAAAATTTTCTCTATGCTGTGGAATCGTTAGGAATATTAGATAAGACATACTCTGAGATACAGCGAACTTAAAACTCCACCCTCATGAGATGCAATTGATATAAATGTAATAAACACAAGAATAAGTGTGTAAGTAAGTCGTGTTGTGGTCGATTCTCTAGAATTTTTTACACAACACAAGAAGCATGGATACGCTCCAAAACCACATTCTAATGTTCGCCCAAGACAACCCATAGAAATCCACTAAACATATGGTGGTGACAAAAGTACATGCTCAACGTTTGACTAGTTCATCGTTAATGACCCTGAAACAGTACCTTTGATGTTGGTTCATTAAAAGTAATAAGAAATAAAACTAGAATCTGCATTACAGAAAACGTTCTGTCACTTGCTTTATGTTCAGAAGTAATTTGTTTGTCCTTTTTGCTTCATTTTGTCATGTAATTTTGTGTTATTACTCAAGCTGTTTAGCTATTATATCGGAATGTAGAAGAACAAACATAATTCAGTCAATGAACAACACAACAACTTGTGGTCTAATGATCCAGCTTTGTAATGGTCTACCCACCACTAAAAGACAACCAGATGCACTAGAGCGAATTCTGACGAGTTTGGACCTCCCCATTAAGTAGTACAAAGTCTGTTTCATCAGATACCCACCAATAGTGTGCACTTCAGTTACTGGAAAAGAAATAGACAGTCGACTCTATGAATGTTTTGTGAGAATCTAGAAGGCCTACGTGTAAAAAATGATCACTTTCAGATAATCGTTTAGCATTGTAGCTATTTAATAGATTTGCATTACAAGATCTATCTAAGAAAACGAACCAGTTTACTTTCGGATGTAGATATGTAGATTTATGGCCTAGTTCAGTATCAGTACATTTATCTTTGTTGTTCTATTAAAAGGCCCGATTCCAAAGTTGTAGATCTGTCATGATTTGATCAATAAATCTATAAAATCTTACTCAGATGTTACGTCATAGTTCACACTGATTCATCCTATCGTGACAATCAGCATCTCGATGTTTAGTACTTCTGCAGTCACATTTTATCTGGAGGATAGAATTGTGTAGTTATTGTTGAAAGGTATGGGTCACACAGAGTGAATGAGTCTGTAAGGCTGAACCATGCCATACCAACCAACTGTCCTCGCGTTCACCAATCTCAACCTTCACTAAGTGTTTTATTACGGATGTTAATCGTATTAGTGTTTATATGCTCGGCTCCGAGGATCGTGTGGTTGGTAATCAATACCACCACAGATATCTATTAGCTAAATAGTGCACCATAATAATTTTCTTCTGAATTACAATTTTCAGGTATGCTTACTCCCGGGTTTCCCTTTACTTAGTTGTTGTGCAAGAAGCTCGAATCATCTACTTTATTTTTAGATATTCTGTTCAATATCTTCGTAATACTGGACGTTCAGCCTAAATATTGACTTGTACTATGAATCTGCTATCCTAGACTTAAGGAGACCTAAAGATTGGCTGTTTAGAATAATTTTTCCACACCTTTCATAACGGGAAAAATTCCCGTAGATTTGCGATTAGATACGTGACGTTTTTATTTATTTACTCGATTCATTTTGTTCGGGATCGTAAATCTAATGAACATTTGTCTATCAACTTCTCAGCAATCTAAACCTATTTTTGTAACACGTGCTTCACTAACCGTCCAATGATCGTTTTTATTCAAGTTGCCTTACAGTTAAGCCACACTCCAAGTACCTGAAACTTCCTCTAAATCTCATAGTCGTCTGTAGGGAAGTTGAATACTGAGGAAAGTGTTTGAAGGTGTATTCTAAAAAATTAGATAACGTAACTAAATCACTCATCTGACTTCGTGAAGTTACGTTCGTTTGAAGGACTAAACAAGTAATAAATACTTTATTATGGCCTCCACTAAGCTGCTAAGATACCACAGAAGAAAATCCTGTAGTGGCAAATAAATCTCCAAAACAAATAGTCCTGTAAGTCCTAAACATTGATGCTGACTCAATTAGTTTTACATGACACACCACCACTGAATGCCTCCTATCGCCCACCAACACGAGGTCACGAGTAATTTCGCCGTGCTTCACCTTCCTTACTAGCCAGCTTAGATCAAATGCTTCTCAATATATCGGCAACTCTGTCTAATATAACTTCGGGTGCATTTTTTACTGACTTCTGGTTTGGCTTGGTAGGTATCATTCGAATATAAAGATATTGCGTACTAATGTGTCATCAGATTTTAAATAACCGTGGCATCTTCAACTCCTAATAAAAGCAGGATGAAACTGTGCTTGTAGTATTCTGAGGTCCTCTTATTAAAATTTGTTAGATACACTACATAGACACTTGTCGATAAGCCAGCAGAAAGCTGTTGATGACGACCGTGTACACTGATGAGTCATCTGGTTGGTGATAAAACACAAACGTACTAAGATTCTGATTGTGTGGGTCGTAAATTCAGTGTACAGTAGAACTTAAATCTGCAGGACTTGAAATAAATTTTACATGGTGAGCTTATCTATTTTCGCACCTAATTTTGGCTTGGTGTTTCTACTGAGGCACGGACAGTTGATACACTCGTAACTTACAACTCTAACATCAAGAAAAGCACATTTAAATTCAGGTACCTAAATTTTATACTCAAAATGAGAGTTATCAACCCAAATATAGTTCTAATGAGATTTTAGGTTTTCAGAGCAAGATTTGCAAAATACTGAACCAAACATTGTGAAGCTGAAGGTGTTTAGGGCCAAAATTATAAACAAACGCCTTGAAAGTTTGAGTAAGACAAATATATCTAAAACGCAATGAAAATTATGTTCATGACAACAGTTAACAGTTCAGTAAATGTTCCGAATTTCTCATGTGATCTTTCTATTTTTCAAATGATAATCACAGTCCATCAGAGTTACCTGGAATAGTTTTATCGAACAACGCACATAGTCGTAGGCTATAGCCACAATAAAGCAAGTTGATAACCTATTATTCGTATAAAAATATGATAGATATGGAGTTTATTTATTTCCATGTCATATGTAGGTATCGTGTTTCCGAATTCTGTTCAATTTCTCCTTTTGAATGGTGAACATTTTGTACTTCTAGAAGGTTATTTCAAAGCTCTCCATTTGCTCCTCAAATTGTGTAATAACCGGTAAAACTGTGATGGTATTCGTTTTCAACCACACGATTTTTAAAGCTGAATAGTTATTAACTGAGGTTGTTTACGTTCAACATTTTACGCTTGTAGAAGGTCAGAAATGATGGACCCAGGAACACTTAAACGGTATGGCATGGCCAAACCATTCAGGCATGATCACTAAGTAAATTCTTATTTTACATAATAGACGCGTAATTCCAGTCCCAGATCAAATGTATTTTTCTGAAGTACTTGAAAGTATTTCTCTGGCCTTCACGATAAGACAAATCACTATAGACAATAATATGACGTTGTAGAATTATGGTCTACTTCGTTATTAGTACTATTATTATAATATAATTAATCCTAAAATTGTAGACAAATAGTACAAATCCGAGAGTCCAGACAACTATGTAGCTGTCACAGTATGAACCATCTAAAAGTACCTTATGATTGCAAAGACTTGATAGCTTAAACTCACCTTAATTTCTGGAGTACTGTCTTCGTCGTTTGGCAATAGAACTCGAAAATTGAAAATTGGGCAGGCAGTGGTCGAACAAAAAGATATTACTGGATAGTCCAAAGTTTAAAACAGAGTGAAATGTTAAGTAAAGAAACAATATGAAGAATTAGGTCCAGATAACCATTCAGTTCTTTTCACGTTGCCAGTCAATGTATATTTCCGTTATTTACAGATCACATCTGCTAGAAATTGATATTTTCACAAGTTTATTTCGCTGAAGCATGTAATTGCTATTACAGCTTGTCAACAAACCATCTTGGCTAGTAATTGATATAGATGACCTGTTATTATGATCGATTAAGCTAGTACGTTATGAGTACTAGTCAACACTACAATACGATAGAAAGCGTGAGCGTTAGTCAGGGGACTAAAGAATACTGAGTTAACATAAGTAAAAATCGACCAAGAAAGTTAAAGTGGAAATAAGGATTAGTAGTAATAGGCTATGTTTCTTTAGTCATGTATATCAATGTGGATTTATGGTCCCTTTCGTTATTAGTACTATTATAATAATAGATCTTATCCTAAAATTGTAGATTTGTTATGATGTAACTGCCTAATGTATAAGATCTTACGTGGAAGTCAAATCATTGTTTACACTGGCTCATCGTATCGCAATAATCACCAAGTTGAAATTATTGTTTTCTTTCAAGTTGCTTACCATAATGGTTTGTTCTAATAGATTTCACGAGGTTTAAAACTTGTTACTGAGAGCTATCTTAGACTCTGAGTTTGTTAGCACCTCGGGTAAATTCTGTTAAAAACGTATGTACTGCGGCTTATCCCTTATCTTGACAGTTGAATATTGTCAACAATTCTCTTAGATAGATCGCACTTACACATAAAACTGATCCTTATTATCTACACTGCCACCAATGGAGGCCGCATAACACTGTATGACTATCATCACAATCCCTCCTATTCTCACTTGAGGAATGCTTTGATTATCCTGGAACCATGGCTCCTCCTTCAAACTTTTTTGACATTTCTCTGAAAAGTATCAGCGTAAACCTTTGTGTGATTAGGGTGTCGCTTTCATGAACGGAATACAAAAGCACTTCACTCGAAGCTAGTCTCTCCCATCTAGCTTTTGTTCAGTGGGTTTCACTTATTTCAAGCAAAACCAGGTTATACCTCATTTCTGCCGCTATTCAAATGGTCCTCCCGGTCTCTTATATTGCCAGGCAGTTCAATGCACCCATAATGATTGTTTCTCTGGGTGTCAGTTTTATTATTGTCACAGCTTCAGTAGTATCCAAGGTTTTGTCAGGAGGTGTTATGGACTATCTTCGACTATCAGGGTAGAGTTTATGTGGATTGGCCGAATTTTTCCTGTAAGCGCTTTTTGGCGGGTCTTTGTAATGTGGTATTATTAATAACTATACAAAATAACTTACTCCTTTACCTAGGTGTATAACCGGGGGTTCCCAGAGGGCTCAAAGTGGAATCGTTCGTGGATCCATCGTAATTGTAGACAATTGGGAACCGCCTCCACTCTTTTGTGTAGAAATTCAATTTACATTAGTTCCAAATTATAGGGCTTATTCAAACTGATGTTATGTTGGAGAATAGACATTTGAAACATCCCATGTATCAGTCGATTTAGTTCTATGGAACGACCATTACACCATGGAAGATATGCA